CAGGTGAGAAGCTGAATCTAATACAACCTAATAAAACTAGGACCACTGAGGAAGCTAACATGGCCCAGGGCAAAGAATGCTATTTGGTTCTTGGTAGAAGTAAACAACAGAGAGATTGCAAAACAAGCGAATCTGTCAAGAACAAGGGTAAAATTTAAGAATTTTTAGGTTTAAAATGTAAACCTGAGAAAGCTTACAGCCATAGATCTTCACTAAAGGACTTTAAAGGATATCCAATAAGCAGGGCTTTAGATGGAATTGGCTTGTGCTTGAATCACAGGTTGAATTCTTACTTATTGTATGACTTTGGTGTTTCTCCCTCTGACTCTCCGTTTTCTTATTTCTAAAATGAGTATAGCATTGACTTCATAGAAAGTGACTAGAATGGTTCTTGGCATAGATTAAGAGTCCATGTGTTTGGTAGAGCTTGGGAGCCAAGGAAGGGAGCTGACTTATGCATAACTTTCTGTTAGTTTCACCTTTTTCTCATACTGTGAGTGGCTTCTTACAGATCAAGTACATCTGTGACTATCTGCATTATATTGGATTTTGTGTCCCATTTACTATCATGTTGAGTTGGTAGGGTTTTTGAAATTTTAGGATCATTGACTTTCGCAGAAAATTGATATATTAAAGGGTCTTTAGGCCAGTAAATCAAGGTGTACAGGATAAACATGGAGGCACAGATATATTGAAATGCTTGTACATGGTCATGCAGATTAATAATAGAATCACTGTGATCATTTTTCCCTGGAAAATTATATAACAAAAAATTAATAACAAATTAGCTTGTCATTTAATGTACCCTCTAATGTGATGTCATTGTACCTATTCAGCTTTACCACCCTCTACCCTCTGCGTAAATCACCTCCTTCTGTTGTGCTTTCTCAAATATACCACTTTAACTCAGAGTATAAACTTTTCTCATTTATTTTCTTTTCTTACCTGGACTGTCCATTTTATTTTTTACAGGATTAATGTATCTTTCCATTTTAGACTCAAAAGTAACTTTGTTTTCCTGTGCTTTCACCAACAACCACTTTTCACCTTTAATTCCTTTTTCACTGATGACAGCTTTTGCCTTTATCACATAGTTTGTATGTCCTGATTTATTCACAAATAATTATTTATCTCCAAAACATGGTACAGAGTATAAAGGCAAGGTAACGTAATTCGCTCTTTTCCCTGTTGGTAATGATGCTGAGCATTTAATTGGAACTCAATCAATGAAAGAGTGTGTGTATGAAAGCCTCAGTTTAAAATAAATTCTTCAGGATCAAGAGTGTTTACATTTAAAGCGTTATTCATTTGAGATTGGTGGGACACACCATTTGTTACCAGCCTATAAGTCATCTTATGAGGTCTCATTAGTCTACTGATTTGTCACCATACTTTAAAGGTTGCTTGGTTTAAAAATCATTACACTTTTTACTGGAAGCGTAACCTGTCCGTTACCTCTTTGGTAAAGGTTTAATAACCATTTCTTTCACTTCCTATGTAAATAATTGAACAATGTATTTCAGGGGAAGGAAAAAGAATTGTGTACTAATATAGGCTCCTGTAATTACCACAAACTCTTTATTATTTTTATTGAAAGCTTACCCTTCAGCCATAGAAATAATCTTACCAATTAGACAACTATTCAAGGCCATTTAACAATAGCCAATCTTTGAAAAATGAAATATCACCCTTACTCTCTGTTTTTAAAATTTTAAAGGCACAGTGAGACACTGATTAGAATATATTCATCAGTTAACAGCTACATAAAGATAGAGATTTGAAGCTTGTTTCTAAATATGGATTGATGTGGGAATTTCTGCTCTCCTCCCTCATGGGAGTTTGTCTCTACTATCCAGGCATTTGATATGTAGGGTTTCCATTCAGAGACACTAGGATTGATATTGTGTAAGAATGATCTCTTCTGTTGGTGAGATAAAATCCTAGACTTTCAACACATGATTAATTAATAGACATATGATCTATAATGTCAAATATGAATTTAAAACACTTGCTGAGAATTCCAATGGCTTCGCATTTAGCTGAAACAATCTGCCACATCTCTTATTAGATAGCTGGAGGCAGATTCAAAAGATCTTCGTCTGACCCTTTAGTCTATTTCACTGTAACCGAATCATTTAATCAGATTTTATAAAACTCTGGGCTAGAGTGCAGTGAAATGTTAAGCACATCTTACTCATTAGAAACAAATGAAAAACTCATCAGCCTTGAGACTCAGCCATTTACATTAAATATCTATATAAAATGCTACCACAGACATCGGGTCTGGATGGGTCTAATTGGCACTACAGCCTATTTAAGAAATTTAAAAAATATATAGTCTATTTCATACTACTAATATTTCTATGGCACAAATGAATTAAAAAACCAATAAAAAGAAATTTAAAAAGCGTATTTTATTTTTTACCAGCTATTTAAATGTCCCATTTTATTTTTTAATTTGGAATTTTGTTGGTGCAATTCTCCAAAGACATTCAAATGCAAAGCAGAATAAAAAGAATACTCATAATCCTGTGTTTGGTTTGTCAAAACAACCAGTTGAGATTTAGCACACAATACCAGATGTTCAGAATGTACTACAAATCCCCCACCATACAACTCATTACTGATAATTAAGCTCCAATTAGAATTGTTTAAAAATGTACTTTGGAAAATAAAATAAACTCGTGAGTAAGGACATGTTTCTTTTACCTTGTCGTGAACTCCAATCTCTGTGATGCATGGAGCACTATATTCCCAGGACCCGTGATGCTGAGAAGCTCATGACAGATGCTCACTGTCATGAAAAAGTTTATGGATGACTGGTGGGGATTAGCTAGACTGTGACAATTTCAAAGCATATGCTGGTTAGAATAAAGAGTGGGGTCAACAAAATTTTTCTTACAAAAACATTCTTATCAGACATCAATATTCATCAGGCACATCAAACAATTCTTGTCTGGCCAGGACCATCTTTTGTAATAGGAATGTAGCCATTCCTATGTGTACCATCTACCCCCATTCTTAGCATAGTGTCATGTAGTTTGGAAGGAAGACATTCCTGACTTCCAGAGGAGATACCTGAGGCACACTTGTTTCATTATTTATGCCTTTATTCATTCAGCCAAAAGAGAAAAATGACTTTAGTCCTTAATCTCAATGAATCACAGACCTCAGGGAGACACAGGCCTGGGCACATTCACAGTAGAGGGCAGTTGCATCTGTAGAGTGCTTTACAGGGAGCAAGCATTGCTCATAGGAGAGAGGATTAATTTATCATGGATCAAGAAGGACAGATCCATAAAAGCTCAACAGAGGAGGTCAAGCTTGAGTGGGATATGGAAGATTCAATGAGCGGATGAGGAATATTAGGGTTTTCAGATATAGGAATCATATACCCAATGTATATGTTCTCAAAAATGTCCGACATAGAGGTGTAAAAAATGTCAGCACTCTCAGTCCAAAGAGTTGAAATAGAAATAGGATGGAGAATATGTGTGCAGGGTTTTGTGAGGTACTGGTATGGGAACTGGGGACTGAGAGAGAGAGCAAACAGAAAGATGGTGAATATCATTCTCCTTGTCTTGCCAAGGAGGTTGGACCTCACTTGCAGGGGATGTGAGGCTTGCAGAGACTTTTAAGGGAGGTTGGCTTGGTTAGATTAGCATTTAAAAAAATAATCTTTTATTCCTTTTAAGTTCCATACAATTTTTGACTCATGACATTGTTCAAAATAATATAAAAACCCTGAATCTTTATCCTATCCCATTTGCTTTTACCCCTATAACTTTGGATAATTTGTGATGTAATTTTAAGTAAAAGTATTTGTTTTTGTTCAGCATATTAGTATTGTACTGTAAAATCCATCTTTAAAAGTCTTTATAAAATAAAGATTATCAGAGATTAAATTTTATATCAATAAATTATGTAAACTTGAATAAATTTTGCTATTTAACAAGTAACATGTAGTTTATGATAGTATACAATATGTTTTTGAACAAGTGATTTGTTAACAAATCAATTTTAGAACAGTATTCATTTTGTTTTGTGTTGAAAAAATAATGTATGCTAAAATATTTATGGATGTAAAGCTATATGTTGCAGCAACAAAAGACCTAAATTGCTTCTATAAACTGATCTTCAAAATGATGAATTTTTATTTTAAAATCAAGTACAGAATAGATAAATTTTATGTTCCACTTCTAAATAAAAAGGGCTTTTTAGAAAGCATTCTTGCCCAATTAACACATTTTGAGTGTAGATAATTATTACTTATAATACATTAAAAGTCATATCAGGTTTAATAATTGTCAGATCTTCTCTTGGTAGCCTTGTGCTTTATAGCTGGAGAGGCCCTTTAAGGTGCTACCCAAGTACTTGACTTGATACTCTAACTTATATATTTGATATTGTTGCTCTGGAGAATGGTTTTATGTTCCTCTGAAATTTACATTTACCTTTTCTCTTAAACGAATAAGGGTATACATTAACAAATTTGGCACAAAAAATGAAAATCTAATAGAAATACTATATAATCCAGCAATGTTACAATTGGGAATTTATCCAAAGGAAAGGAAATCATTGTATTAAAAGAAAGGGTGGCAGCCTCTTATTTATTGCAGCTGTATTTACAATAGCTAAGATATGGAATTAACCTAGATGTCCAACAGTAGATGAATGGATAAAGAAAATGTGGTAAATATACATGATAGAATACTATTCAGTCATAGAAAGATTGAAATCCTGTCATCCGTGGCAACATGGTTGGCACTGGAGGACATTATGTTAAGTAAAATAAGCCATACACAACAAGTTAAATATTGCATATTCTCACTCATGTGGGAAGCTAAGAATAGTTGATAACACAGAAGTAAAAAGCAGAAAAGAAAATATTAGAGACTGGAAAGGATAGAGATAAAGGAAGGATAGGGAGAGATTTGTTAAAGGATACAAAATTCCAGCTCAATAGAAGGAACAAGTTCTAGTACTCCATACCAGCAGTCCCCAACCTTTTTGGCATAAGGGACCAGTTTCATGGAAGACAGTTTTTCCATGGACCCAGGGGCGAGGTGGGGGAATGGTGAGGATGATTCAAGTGCTCTACATTTATTGTGCACTTTATTTCTGTTATTATAGCATTGTAATATATAATAAAATATTTATACAACTCACTATAATGTAGAATCAGTGAGAGCCCTGAGCTTGTTTTCCTGCAACTAGACAGTCCCATCTGGGGGTGATGGGAGACAAGGACAGATCATCAGGCATGAGATTTTCATAAGGAATGCACAACTCAGATCCCTCACATGAGCAGTTCACATCCGATGCTACTGCTGATCAGACAGGTGTGCAGTTCAGGCAGTAATGCAAGCAGTGGGAAGTGGCTGTAAATACAGAGGAAGCTCCATTTGCTTGCCTGCTGCTCATCTCCTGCTATGCGGCCCTGTGTGAGTCAGTGGCCCCAGGGTTGTAGACCCACATTCTGTACCACTGTAGGATAACTATAGTTATCAATAATATAGTTTCAAGTGGTTAGAAGGAGGATATTGAACATTCCCAACACAAAGAAATGGCAAATCTTTGAAGATGGATATATACACTGACCTGATCACTATACATATGTATGGGAACACCATTATGTACTTCATGGGTATGTATAATTATGATTTGTCAAATAAAATTTAAAAAAGAAAATCTGTCACAAACCATATTAGCAGCTACTATATATATAGCTCATGCCCTATTCCTGTATATGCCCTTAGTCTCCCCCATTTTTTTTTTTTAAATTTTGATATGGAATTTTGTTCTTGCTGCCCAGGCTAGAGTGCAATGATGTGATCTCAGCTCACTGCAACCTCCACCTTCCAGGTTCTAGCAATTCTGCCTCAACCACCCAAGTAGCTGGGATTACAGGAATGCGCCACCATGCTTGGCTAATTTTGTATTTTAGTAGAGATGGGATTTCTCCATGTTGGTCAGTCTGGTCTTGAACTCCCGACCTCAGATGATCTGCCCACCTCGGACTCCCAAAGTGCTGGGATTACAGGCATGAGCCACCACGCCTGGCCCTTAGTCCCCTTTTAAGTAGTGACAAACACTGTAAAGGGGAACAACATTTGGAGCCTCAAAACTTAATAGAATCTAGAAATAATTACAACATGTCAAGATAGCTTTTAGAAGTATTTCATGTAGTTTGAATCATGAAAAATCCTTTTCATGATATATTTATATAGAGCTTATGCTTTGTGTAGCTATAAGTTACAATAACATTTCATCTTTTTCTTAAAATTCCTCAATAGAAATTTAATTTGCTCGGTATCAAATTAGATTTTGTCATTGAGTTTTTGAACCACAAAAACCTTTTATATACTCTAAAGATGCTAGATTATAGAGGTGCAATTTCAGGAGGAGTCCTATGCTTTGATTCTGAGGAAGCATTCTGCCGGCTGTCTCTGTGGAGTAAACAAAAAAGTGAAGGTAGATGTTTATATTGTGTAATATAAAACTTGCCTATTTTCTGATCCTGAAAAGAACCTCTCTTGCTCCAGGAAGCTTTGTGAGGTTTTTAAGCTAGTGACTTTTAAAATCTTCACCAAGAATCTTAGAGTGCCAAACCCAGCTTGTTCTTTTCCTACCCTGAGTTCTTTGTAGCAGGCAGGTAATTTGTGCCTTTGAGAATGAGGTTGTGAAGTGTCCACTGTGAGCTGGAGAATCATTGTGTACCTGCTCCTAAGGCACTCAGCATCTTCTTCCTGGAACCCCCTGTGATTTCAAGCCTGCTGAACACACCTTTGGCATTGCCCTTGCTACCCAGTATCACATTTTAATGATCTATTTCTGAGTTTGTCATGGCCACCAGACTTTGAGTTCTTTAGCAGAAGTGCCTGGGTCTGATGCTTTCCTGGGAGTTGACACCATTCCTGGAGATTAACAGGTCCCTCTTCAACACTGGTGTAGGGCAACAGCCTGGTGTTTAACCTTACGGAGTAAACCTGAGAGACAGTACAGAGCACATATCCCAGCAATATTCAACCCAAGGACGAGGGAGCCGTACTGTTTACAAACCAGCTTCCATCAGCTGGGAATTACCTCCCCGTCTTTCTGTTTTGTGGTGTATATAGGCAGAGCTGCTTCTGGTGGCCAGAGAGAGCCCTCAGGTGAAACCAGGCAGGTGCTCAGGGCTGATAGAAGTCGGACACTGTGAACTGTAGTGTAAGGGTGCAGGACTGCAGCTAAGTTACCGGCCTCAAATGCTGTATCTATCCTAGCTACCCTACACTGGCTACGCCAACCAAACCCTAATTTTCATGCCTTAAAATCTGTTGAAACCCTGAACCCTTCTTACATCTTGCTTCTTATAAGGTCTCCTCTGACTCAGGCCTGGGTACTTTCTGTGTCCTGATGGCCATAGCAGCAACATCTGCAGCAGGGATGTGAGTGGTCATTCATGCCATGCCTGTGTGGTCCCATGCAGGAGATGCAAGGATAAGTTTATTCATTCACACACTGTGCCAGGCCTGAGCTACAGGGTATGAAAGACTGCTGGCATTTGGCCTATCAGAACTCATGGTCTAAAGGGGAAGACAGATACTTCCCAAAGAATCATAGCCCTAAAGATAACAATTGTATGCAAATTGTGAGCGACTCATGAAGCCAAATGAATGGTGTCATGAAAGAATATAAGAGGGATGAGAAAGTGGTTTGGAGAAATTTTTCAGAGGTAGTGGAAAATTATGAGAATTTCCCAGAAATCATTCAAAGAAGCCAAAAGGTAGAAAGAGTTTAGTACACTAGTGGAGTTGAAAATATTTCTTGCTTATTAATACATTTATATAGCAGGAAATAAAATATAGTAAAGCATAAAGAAGAAAATACACATCCCAATGAAATGGGAGAGTTTCCTGACTGCCCCTAGCAGGACATGCAACAGAAGTGTGGCTCATCTTTTTGGCCACTGTATGCACTCAAACCCCTTATGTGATGGGAGCATGCAGATAGGCAGGTGCAGGAGCTGGGGCAGCATCCAGGGGTGGTGTCTGCAATTCCTGAAGCCTAAATGAGTGTGTGTTAGTGTGCCCTTTTACCCTTGCCATCCATGGATGGCTTAAGTGTTAGGCAGTTCAGTGGACCCTCTGTCTTTTTGCAAGGGCAGAGGGCCAGTGTGATAGCTTTCTTTATCCTGAGCTCTTGTCCAGTGTCCAGGAAAAAATCAGGTCACACATGGACTTGAAGGATGAATGCTGGGGTTTTATTGAGTGGTGGAGGTGGCTCTCAGTGAAATGGATGGGGAGCTGAAAAGTGGATGGAGTGGGAAGATGATCTTTCCCTTGGAGTTGGGCTGTCCAACAGCTAATCTCCTCTCTGACCACTTCCAGCTGAACTCTCAGCGTTCAGCTCCTTCTCTTCCTTCTGCCATGTCATTCTGCCGCTCTTCTGCTCTTCAGTTCATCTCTTCCTCATCTGCTTCTGAAGCCTGGGGTCTGGAGTTTATATGGGTGCAGGATAGGGGGGTGTGGTGGGTCTGAAGTCAACCTTTGGGTGTGAAACAGCAATGCCTGTTCCCATTTAGGGCTGTGAGTTTCCAGGCTTGAGGGTGGGGCCTTTGCTGGGGAACCACCATCTTCTACCTAGTATTTCCCTGTCTCCTGTTCATATCACCACCAGGGGTAGGGGGAAAGAGATGTCCATTGACATTTCTCTCTCCTTGTTCTCACAACATCCACACGTACACACTCATGTACATGTGCACACACACATATACACACACATGTACACACACACAAAGCAATGTTAGTACAACTTCCCAAGCTGCTTCTTTGGAAGTGTCCAGCACTGAGAAAGACGTGAAATTGGCTATTGCTTCAGAGGGATAAGAGCAGCATTTTTTAGTAAAAAGGAACTCATTTTTCAAACTTTCCAAGATAGATTTCTAAGGCCTCTCTGGGTTTATTTTCTCATGTCAGACTGAACAGCTTTGACTGTAGCAGCTTTAACTTAATTCATTTTACTGAAGCTTTTTTAAAAAGAGTGGTTCAGAGCATGGAGTCATTATGGTGACTAGGGATTACATGTTGACCTCTGTCCTGCAGGAGCCAGCCATCTCCAAGCATCCAGGAATCAGTTATTTTGCCTTCAAGTCTAATTCCTGAGGGGTAAATGCTGTCAACCTCTCTGTGGATTGAAGCAGGGAAATGCAGTGTTAGCCTCAGCAATTGCCTGCTGTCCATGGCAATGGAAATAGAAAAGAGGAAGCTGAATTTCCTAAAGCTGAGTCACTTTTAGACTTGATCCAGTGTACTGGCTAATTAATATCAACTCAATAGACATTTATTGGGCATCTGTTATGTATGTTATAAAACATTGAGTATATAAAACCAAACAAAAATTACCAGCAATAATAGAAGCAATACTAACAGCTAATATCTTTCCATCAAGGCCTTACTAAATTCCAGGGATCTAAGTTCTTTACAATGTATTTTCATAACTCACGGGCAGGCACTATTTTTGCACCACTGTGCAGCTGAGGAAATTGAGGCTCTGAAAGGTTAAGCAACTTGTCCACTGTCATGTAGCTGCTAAGTTCCAAAGTAAATATTAGAACCATGTGGTCTGAGGCCTCTCCTAATGCTCAAGTTACAGATGTCAAAAAGCTTGGGCTTTCATGAGGAAGATAACCAAAAAGGAAATTCCTAATAAAATGAGTATTTATTGAGTATTTCCTATGTGCCAAGCACCAATCTGAGTATTTTATGTGTTTGACTGTTCTCAATCCTCACAATCACTCTTTGAAAAGGGGACTGTTATCTTTTTTTTTTTCCCCATTTATTTATTTTATTGCATTTTAGGTTTGGGGGTACATGTGAAGAACATGCAAAATTGTTGCATAGGAACACACATAGCAGTGTGATTTGCTGCCTTCCTCCCCATCACCTACATCTGGCATTTCTCCCCTTGCTATCTCTCCCCAGCTTCCCACCCCCCACCGTCCCTCCCCTATTTCCCCCCAACTGCCCCCAGTGTGTAGTGCTCCCCTCCCTGTGTCCATGTGTTCTCATTGTTCAACACCCGCCTATGAGTGAGAACATGCGGTGTTTGATCTTCTGCTCTTCTGTCAGTTTGCTGAGAATGATGGTTTCCAGGTTCATCCATGTCCCTACAAAGGACCCAAACTCATTGTTTTTGATGGCTGCATAATATTCCATGGTGTATATGTGCCACATTTTCCCTATCCAGTCTATCGTCGATGGGCATTGGGGTTGGTTCCAGGTCTTTGCTATTGTAAACAGTGCTGCAATGAACATTCGTGTACACGTGTCCTTATAGTAGAACGATTTGTAATCCTTTGGATATATACCCAGTAATGGGATTGCTGGGTCAAATGGAATTTCTATTTCTATGTCCTTGAGGAATCGCCACACTGTCTTCCACAATGGTTGAACTAATTTAC